GGGGGGGGGGGGGGGGGGGGGGGCAGTGGGTTAGCAACTGTTACTTTATTATTATATTTTTTGCTTAGTAATTACAATTCTCTGTATAAATTCACTTATCTGTTTCCATTTTAACTTATTCTCTGTCATTTCTTTTACGATGTTATCTGGAGTAAGTGTAATTCCAAGTTCTGTATCAATTTTATTTTTCTCACTTACAAATCTGGAGCACTCGAAGAAAGTATGTTCCGGCGTGTCTCGAACCCCAGTACAAAATTTACAATTAGCGCTATCAATCAATTTAAACCTAGACAAATAAGAACCAAACGCACCGTGGCCGGTGAAGAACTGTGTTAAAAAGAAATTAGGATACCCATGTTCTCTATTGAGCCAAATTTCCAATTCAGGTATAAGACGTTTACACCATATATCAGTATAACTATCTTTCCATCTAATACACCACTTATTTACAATATCATAATTAATCTCAGTAAAATCCTCAATCTTCTTTGATCTTCTCCATGTCTCCTCAAGTAATAACTCAGTTGGGGGAATACCTGTCAAAACATCCAGACAATTCGATGATGCTGTCCTATATGCCATACATAGAGCTCTTTTCATTGGACGGATAGTATACAGATAGGGATTAAACGGGATGCATTGATGTTAATTGGGTTAAATGGAGGAAGTTTGAGAAAAGGGGAATGATCAGTAACCGTGAACGCTTCCCAGATGACATGTCCATAACATTTAAGTCCAAAAATTTCTTATGTCCAATTATTCACAAGTCCAATCAACTAATTTCCGAAAAACTAAGTTGTCCGCATACAAAAAAATTTAAATATGGAAGTCCAAAACTATAAAATGTCAAACAAAGGTACCATACAATATCCAATGCCGAGGAAGTGGTGTCTATACTCTATTCTGTGAAATAAAAAATGCTGTTTTTTCTCTCCCCTCCCCCCCCCCTTACATAAGGGCCTATGTTAATTTCTTTCTCAAACTAACCTCGAGTATAACCTAAGTCATCGATGGATGGTACAGTTGATGTTCAAAATTATTTCACACTAGCCGCTGTGGCTCGCTTCGCTCGCCTCGCGTCTAGCCGGTGGCTCCGCCCCTTGGACCCCCGGTCACTCGCTTCGCGAGTGACTTACGGCTCGCAAGCGAGCCGTATTCCGTGCCGTAAATGCAAAAAGATGATAAAGTAATGTAATCCAATAAGAACTCTTCTGAATACATGAATACGAGAGGCATCCCTTCCTAAATTAGTTTACCTGTTTTCAGTTCCGTAATGATCTTCCTTGTAAATTTTCAAAAGGAAAACGAAATTACGCGAAATTGCCAAGAAGCATTATGGATAGTTTTCCTGTAAGGAATT